ATATTTTTTACCCTTAACTTGTTCAGGGCTTGGCAATTTATGCTTATCGCTCAGTTTTATCTGCTTATCCTTATATAATTTATCAAATATAAAGTCAGCTTTTGTTACATCGAACGAGAACGTTCTAACCTTTATGTTTTCATCTTTTATAGGCTCATCCTTGTCCGACGGTCTATGTTTAGCCATTATAGGACAAGTATATGTGTCTCCTTTAACTAATTCGGCCAAACACATTTCGGTTTGATCGTAATACTCGTTATTAATGGTATGAACATCAAAATTTGGGTCTCTATAATAAGTCCCCTTGCTAGAATTTTTCATTTGTTCTTCTTCTCTTATTAATCGTTCATACCTAATCACGTTCGCGATCAATTGAAAAAGATCAGAAAATTCCTTGTCTTGAAATTTCTTTTTCAAATCAAAGCTCAAGCAACTTTGAGCGATTTTGACAAACTCCTTTTCGAGTAAAGGTACAAAACATTTACTTCTTGCTGTCTTGAACCTTTGAAGGAAACCTTCTGCCAATTCGTTTGGCATTTGACGTAGAATCGCCAAAGTAACTTCAGACTCAATCTTATAAAACTGAGCACGGAATAATTGCTCCAATTGTTGCCATGTTTGGACAGAGTTTGCTGGCAAATTGATGAACCAGGAGAAGGCTACTCTTGTTAATGAACTAGGGAACATCCTCATTTTATGGTAATCAGTTACATCACCATTTTACAGTGTGAATCGCCCTATGTGTTCTAGAGTAGACACTTCTCCTAAACCGGTAAACAGTGAGAATTCTAGCACTTTATACCCTCTAGGCCATGGATATGTTTGGTCTACCAATCAGGATATGGCTTTGTGTAAATCGGCCTAATGACAGGACGTACTCCAAAAGCCATCTGGTCCTGTACGATTTCCATAATCTGATTCCTCAACATGACGTTGGGGTCATATGGAATTCTTACAGGTTAGTTGATCGGTTGATTTACTTGAGGTCTGATGTTTGGTCCTTGGTTGGCAACAAAGTTTCCATGATTTGGGCCATTGTTACCATTAGCCTGAACATTTATTCCATCATTAATACGTGGGGTATTCTGCCCATTATTTAGGACATTATCTCTTACATTTAGATTACCCCCCAAGTTAGATGTACTAATACCACTATTCTGATTTGGTATTACACCACCCCCTGGTTTGAAGTAGAGGGGTTAAAAGGTGGTTCTACCCCTTGATTTAAACTTAGGACTGGGGGATTATGTATCACAATTGTCCTAGTTTGAAAGTGGTTTGCAAGAGACACAACTGGTTGACAAATTTGGCCTACTAACTTATTCATTATTTCGTTCAAAGTATTCAGTTGTTTGGTCATGTTGTCATAATGTGCATTCACATTCCGGGTAAATCTTTCTATATTATGAATATTTCGTAGATTTACCTGTTTAACGACATCTTGTGTGAGTTCTCCGAGTAATGCTCGCATGGTTCGAGGACTCAACTCTGTCATTGGTTCGTAATGACTATGATTGCTCTGATTCTGTCCATCTGTTCGTAGAGAGCTATGCTGCTCCTCATATCGCTATATCACAGACTGGACTCCTCCCCGACTTGCTGCTTCCTTATCGAATTTCTGAGGCATATTGTTTCACCTTTTGTATCTTCAACACCAAACACCAATGTCCCACTGGGCGTGCCAAATTGTTTCGCGCGGGTAGTCGCTAACAATTAAAAAGGGATCAGACGATTGTGTAAAGAACAAACCTCTTGAGACAAAGTCCCAAAAATGGGTGTTTTATTGGCGATGACTTTACAATTGGAATTTAAACAGAATGTCTCCAAGGGGCGCAAGTACACGAGTACTGAAAGAAATGTTTAAGTCTAAACTAAGAAATTGAAATTACATATTCTCTGTTTGAAAGTGTTTGATTTGGGGTCCCCCTGCTCTATGTCTTTTCTTCCTTTTATATTCCCTTGATATTCTTTTCGTGATCAACCGCTTAGAAACCGCTTAATTGCTTTATAAATGCCCACTTTCTTCATGGTAGCCAACTTATCGTGGAACTGCCATCTCTAACTGCTGCAACTACTCTTTGTCGTTCAACCGTCTTCAACTGAACATCTTTGAATCGCAGAACGTGATAAGATTACTTAATAACTGTTTCGATAACTGCACTTTTGGATAACCATAACATCTTATGTTTGCTAAGATTCTCGGCGATTCGAAGGTTTGGGCGAGAATAGGGTCATAACCCTGGGCGACTGCAAGACACTTCATTCGATCAGATTTTGGGCGTCTTGCAAGTTTGGACGATGGTGTTACCGCATTCGTGGACTTCCACTGTATTCATTAATAACCCTATTTGGGCCTTTATCCTGAATTGCTCAGTTGGACTTCATTCTTTGGGCTATTCGATTTGGGTTGCACTTTTAGCGTGTCAACAGAAACTAAATTGGTGATTTTATTTGCTATTATATAGTTACTTGATGATGTAAATTGTGAATTTTGCTGCTTTATTGCCCATTAGAGAAATGAAGCAGCTCACAATATGGCGATTTTCCTTTCACATCATTGGAATAGGAGTAGTTGGACCAATGATACTCCTCATCTCCTCTCGTCAATGATTTGTGGCGGGTTGAATTATATAGGGAACTTTGTTAAAATAAAAAAGGTTAGAACATGTTGTTGTTTCGATTAGACATTTATCAACTTGATCTCGAATTACATACTTGCATTAGCTCACTCTAATATTCATATGATATATAGAGGTTTTCATATTTGTTAGGGGCCATTTTTTTGAAGTGTAAGGAACGAGGAAGAAGTTCAATTCCATAAACAACTACTTGAGATTTTTTTTTTTCGGTTTGTCTCAAGTTTTGGATCAATTTATTATATTGATTCAAATAGTAATGTATGAAAATGGAATTCGAGTCTGTGAAAATTAACGCTACGAACTTTTAATTTTAAACACGAGATGCTGATTCTAGTAATTAAATGTAAAAATTGCTACATACGAGAGGAGGAACCAAGGTTGAACTTATCGGATTCTTCGCAAACATTGAAATGTTTGATGAAACCAAGGATGCAATAGCAGTTCTTTTGTTTTGCTGTTCAAGAGAATCAAGAACTAGGAGAAATTTATAATCTATAACTTTCAACAGTATGTCTTTTTTCTTCTTGCCATTTTCTACTTACTTGTTTTTGTATTTAATTATAAATTACTAAAATTATAATTAATAACAATGGCTAGTAAATGTGTAGTTAAAACTATGCCCCGTTTGGCTCCCATTTTTTATAAGTGAAAATAGGTAAAATAGTATTTATTATTTTTTTTTTTTGAAAAAATGAGTGATTGAAAAAGAAATAAAAATTTTCGATTTACGTGTAATATTATTTCAAGAAAGATTGTGTAGTTGAAAATAATTGAGAGAAAAATGAAATATAATATAATGAAATTTAATAGGGGTCATATAAGTTCCGTTTGGTAGCCATTTTTTTCAAAATTCATTTTTCTCTCTCTTCTTTTCATCCACACATTCTTTATTAAAATAATATTACACTTAAATCAAAAACTTTTCATTATTTCTCAAACACAAATTTCAGATCAATTTACTATTCTAAATTGTATTTTTACATAAAAATTCTTATCAAACACCCCCATTGTGTTAACAGATTTTTCATTTTTTATTTTCTAATAATTTTAAAAAGTTAAAATCTTACTAATAAATTATAATTGTACTTAGTTTGTCATAATTTATTGAAATTTAGATGCATTATTAATTCATATTATATATTTATTTAATATTATACAGAGTAAATTATTTTTTTAGAAATATTCGCATCAATTGTAGCACAAATCTAGAATAAGTGTGGCTATGCTACTTCCACACAGTCCGACTGTTTCTAAACATTAAAAGAAAATTACATAAGAAGGTATGGAATTAATGTTCATTTGCAAAGAAGGACACCAAAATTCTAAAATTTTTATAAGTGAATTTTTTTTTTCCTCTAAAAAATGCTCTCCCAGTCCTACACCGATCCCCACCTGACATGCGTTCTAGCCCATCAACCCCTGCTATTCACTGCCAATTTATCCCGATTTGTTGCAACCAGATTTGAAGCAATGACGACCAAGAGATGAACTTGAAAGCAATTATAGACAAATTAGTTCGCTCATCTAATTTCAGATGATCGAAAATATATCAATTGTCCCAAAACTTCTTTTGTGTACATAATTCTTCTCGTTTTTATAACATATAATTCCTACATACTCTATTTTATGAACTCTCATTTCTCAAATCAAGTCAATTTTGACTAGTTCAAAAATGAAAAAATGATTTGTTATGTACATTAAAAATATGAACTTTGGTGTACGCTGATTTTTTACATTTGGTTTACATTGTTGTGAATCATCCGGATTGGAAAAAGGAAAACATTGTCACTTCGAAAAATTCCTCGGATGACAGAAACAATTTTCTCATCTACAGTAAGTCCCGTTTGATAGCACGAAATTTTCCATGGAACTTAAAATTTGAATTCTAACTTCCACTTTTAGCCTGTTTGATTGACAAAAATTTTCAGGAAATTGATTTTCCATGAATTTTTAGTTACAATACCTTAAAGCGTGATTTTCAACCTTTTATTTTTCTAGAGATAGGTGGTTTTTGGTTTTCCACCTTTTTTTTTAAATTGTTGGTAATGGGAACAAATTCTAGGAACAATTGTAAAAAAGGATATCCCTGAAATTGACAATTTTTATGTAAAATAAAGTCAAACGAACACCAAAATATAGATATTTTTTAAATTTTTTTTTGTTGGCAATGAAAACAAATTCTAGGAACAATAATAGAAGTGGATTTACTTAAATTGACAATTTTCATGTAAAACAAATCCAAACGAACACCAAAAAATACTTTTATTTCAACATTTTTTACGTAAAAAATTATACCAATCAACCACGGTAATTTACAATTCTCAAAAAATAATTTCCAGATAATTCAAATCCTGAAATTCATTTTGTTTACACCCAAATTCCAGGCAAATTTCTTTATCAACAGATCGAAATCCCAAAATAGGTGTTGTTATCATCTGATTTCAATTAATACGACAAAAGATCCTATCCTTCGATTCTGCTGTGTTTCAGGAAGCAAAACAGATTATACATACACACAGAGAATTTATGATGGGAAAAGAGTTGAAATTTGACAGATGGGGTTATGAAGTGAATACTAGTTCAGATGCTTGTTTATCTGCTATCAATTCTTACTATCTTGAGGTCTATTTCTGAATCCATGCATATTTCTTTTTGGTGAAACAAAACGATTTCAGTTATTGTGTAATGTTGGAAATGAATGAATTCATGAATTTTTGGTTCTTAGGTTCTCAGTTATGGAAGAAAGAGGTCAGTAATATTGGAAGCTCCGATAAATGATCCAAAATGCGTTCTGGGGAACATTTTAGCTGCTCATTTTCTCTGCTCCTCAGACCCTTCTCGTGCTCTACCACTAATCGATGCTGCCAAGTCCGGTCTTGTATGATTTTTCTTGTTTTTTATAAGAAATTCTTTGTGGGTTTTGTATTTGGTTCACATTTTTTCGTAAATTTTTTTGTTTGGTCATATTTTTCATTCTTGATTTGGTAAATTTTAGTGCGATTTTGACAGGAACATGCTAGTTCATATGAGAAAGCGGTGTTTGATGCCTTGTACTATTTAATTTCGCCGGATAGAGATGATGATGTGGCGGTGGAGCTACATTCTAAGGTGGGGTACTTAGTCTTGATTAATTGTGTCTTGTTGCGGCATATGTTTGTAGAAGTTTCATGAAATGATCTTTTTGGTTTAGATATAGCTATTGGCATCAACTAGGTGATATATGCTGATTATGATCTTATTGGGATGAACAGATACAGTACAAAATTTGGCTGAGCTATGAATAGTAATTATTCAAGTTTTGTCCTGTCCTAGAATCATTAAATTGCCGAATTGTTGATATCATATAGATATCTGATATAAGGCTAGTTGTTGGAAAAAGTTTGACTGGATAAACAGGCTTTGGAAATTTGTTTGCTTTGGTGAGCAAGGATGAGTAAATTTGATTCAAGATTCTGCTTTTTGTTTATACTTGTTTTTAGGCACTTGTACTAAAACTTGTAAGTATTATTTTTTCAGTTTATAGTGATATTTACCTTGGGATCGATGAAAAGATATTTGGGGGTAGTAGGGCTTTAGATAACACCTCCAGTAGGTCATGATTCATCATTGAAATTAATAGTTATGATTTGAAGGACTATGATTCAATTAACACATATCTGCCTCTAAGAAGCATGATAGAGCATAGATATGGATTTGTTAATGTACCGTTGCCATTCACAGACTTAACTTTTGTTTTGGGTTTTTCTAGGAACAATTTGTGATTTCTTGGTGTTAACTTCATTATTTGCAGCTATCACAAGATTTTCCTAAAGATCTTGTATCTGTAAAGAGGGCTCAAGTGTTATGCTTTTACATGGGTCGACCTGATTTATCCCTGAAACTTGTAGAACAGGTACTTTGCACCGATCCAAAGCAAATTCACTGTTCAGTCAATTAATAAATTGACCGTTGATTCTCAATTAACTTTTCCATTATTTTGGAGTTTCCTATATTACTATGAGGCCAATTATCACTTTAAACAAAGTAAAAGAAAAAAAAATTAAAACTTCTATCATCCACTTTTAGATAACTTATATCTGATGAATGATCCCCAGGTCCTAACAATAAATGATCAAGAAAATTACATACATGGAATGCTTGCCTTTCCATTATTAGAGCTTGGTCAAATGGAAGCTGCATTGAAAGCTGGAAAGAAGGGATTTGAAATCAACAAGGATGATCCGTGGGCGCAACATGCTGTAAGTAGACTTGATTCACATTACTTTCTCATTATTGCACATCTTGTGCATTAATGCTCAACCGTATAAATTTGCATATTGGATTTTTTTCAATTTTAATTAGAAGGATACTTTCTGCCGCGCACATAACATTTTAATTTTCCAGAGCATATTACACCAATTTTGCTTGTGAAAAATGTTAATTTCAGCTTTCCTCAGTGGCAATAATCTGTCAACATTTTAGCTGAATATGAAAAGCCTTTGGTTTTGTAGATCTAGAATGCTATTTCTTGCCTTGATCAATGCATGGCTTCCAGCGTCTTTTATTGAGTATTTCAAATTGAATTACCTTACAAATTTTCAATTTTTTGTGGACTACAGATCTGTGGTCATGAAACTGATTGACAATGCATCAAAATGTAATGCTTTTGTATCTTTCTAGAGTATTGACTACTGGAAGAAAATAATTATTTAACAAACTGATTACTACCTTAATGCTTTTCGTACTTTACTGATTCTGATAGTTTTGAGTTCCTATGCAGCTTTGTCATGTATATCAGTACGAGTGTCATTTCAAGGAAGCAGTGAATTTCATGGAAGAATGTGCAAGATCGTGGAGTTCATTGTCATCTTTTATGTGTGTTTGTAAAACCAGAAACGATACCTTAATTTTTTCCTAGATTATTTTATTTAGTTCTTGGTTGCCTGAAGAAACTTTGCATTAGGTATACGCATAATTGGTGGCATGTTGCTCTATGTTACTTGGAAGGTCACGCTCCTATGGAGAAAGTACGAGAGGTTTATGACCAGCATATATGGAAGGAACTGGAAAGAAGTGATGCTGTGCCTGCAGAAGTCCGTGCTAACATTTCCCCAAAATGAGCACCTTTTAACATGCTACAAATTTTATTCTATTTTCATAACTTTTTATGCATGCAGGTATACTTAAATGCTGTCGGTCTGTTACTGCGTGTGCATGTACATGGTGGACTCGATATATTTGAGGACCGTCTGAAGATCTTAGCTATTTGTCTGAAAGATAGAGTGAGTTAGAACATCCCATCATTTATGTTCTGCTTTTGTGGTGATGATTACCAGTTTGTATACAATTCTGGTGAAATGAATTAATCTGTGTTGATCAAATTCCTTTCATTTTTGTCGAATGTCGACTATGCAACTCCCTCATTTCTGATTGAAAAAAAGGAACAAAAAAGAAGAAGAAGAAGAAGAAGATAGAAGGCAGGTAATAAATTAAATATAAAAGATGAAAGGAACTAAATAATGGGAACCAAAAGAGGAAAGAAAAAATGTAAGAGTATTGGATGTATTTCTTTTAAGCAGAACGTGCAAGTAGTACATCTTAATATATCGGTTAGTCACATTTGAATCTTCAGATTACATTTTCTTAATGCAACTCCCTCATTTCTGATTGAAAAAAAGGAACAAAAAAGAAGAAGAAGAAGAAGAAGATAGAAGGCAGGTAATAAATTAATTATAAAAGATGAAAGGAACTAAATAATGGGAACCGAAAGAGGAAAGAAAAAATGTAAGAGTATTGGATGTATTTCTTTTAAGCAGAACGTGCAAGTAGTACATCTTAATATATCGGTTAGTCACATTTGAATCTTCAGATTACATTTTCTTCATCAATTTTATGGATTAATATAGTTGACCTTGTCTAGTTTCTATTGTATGGGTTTCTCTTCTTCATTTGGTTTGATTATGTTAAGCATACTAAACTGTCTCAGTTGCAATATTTAGGCCTTTTGGTACCTCGAGTGGCACCTGGATATCTTGATACTGTGGGCCTTATCATTTACGGGAGAATTTGCTGAAGCAGAAAATCTATTAGAAGGCTTAAAATTCAGGTTAACAAATTATTCATCCTCTCAGGTGTTTCTTGTATGTGTCAATTCTCAATTCAATCCAATAATCGTCTTATTAATGTAGGATTTCTACAATGAACAAGAAGAAGCAGCAGTTGATGCAGATTGGAGTTCAGGTTCCTTTATATTGATTTGGTCATTATTCCAAAGCATAAATAAATGTGATACTCTTTCAATTTTAATTAATTTTTAAGGTGCCATAGATATTATACTGGCATTTGCGTTCTTTCATTTGGGTTTATGAAGGAAAAGCTTTAATCACTTTCAAGTTTCTACAATACCCTGAAAATGAGAATTTCCAAATGTTATGGGCTTGGTAACCTTGAATGTAAATTCCTCGTTAGCATTGCATAATTCAAGAATTCGTCATAGATGAAAAAGTTTCAATGCTATTTCACGTGTTTTCATTTTTAGCTTGCAGAAGCACTCTGCGAGTATGGGAAGGGTGAGAATGAAAAGGCATTGGAATTTCTTGGACACAAATTCGATGTCCTTAATTGTAAGGTATCAGGCAAAATTACCTAGTATTTATTTCATTCAACTTTAGTTTCCTTCAAATGACACATAAAATTCTGCTTCTTTGTGCTTAGATAATTGGGGCATCAGATGAACAACTCGACGTATTTAATGAAATATGGATCAGTTTGCTTCTAAGTACTGGACAAGCATCGCTAGGTAGAACCAATAATGTCCTAATCCAATTTTATCGCTGGTTAGTTATTAATCACGATTTTTATCTCTTGCAGCTATCCAAGCCATCGAAAAACAGTTGAAGAAACGAGAACGTGCACCATTCTTGTGGCGCCTCTTGGTACGTCTCCACTTTTTACACGACTTTCACACCTTGCTTGACAAGTGAGATTTGAACATTACTAACGTAAATTGTTGCACTTATCGTAGGAGAAAGGTTATTCAATATTAGGAAGGCCGGAAGCTGCAAGCTTTCGCGACAAAGCTAGCGTGCTAGAGGCCTCACATTTCACTTAACCGAGATTAATAGAGCAGGATCCTTGGGTACTATGCTTAAGGAGGTCAAAAAATATGTTATCCCACTTAATTGCTGTTGATGATAGTGTTCTCTATGTTCTAAACTTGCATCATTTGCTCTCATTTGCTGTTTTCTATGATTTTTTTTTTTTTTTAATATTTTTATCTAACACAACTAGTACTATAACCCCAATCTAATGACGCTAAATGATAGTCTCAATGAAATGTAGAATTATGTGATAAATTTAATTATACGTTTCATTTAGGATCTATTCGATAGTGATTATGAAAATTGATTTTTTGACAGTTAAAGAAAAAAGTGAATCCTACTTATGAGTGAAAAAATCAAAATGGCAGTTGGAATGGTAAAATAACGATAAAAAAATTGATTTTTTTGGGTGAAAAATTACTACCAAACGGGGGCTTAATTCCACGTTAATGCCACCTAAATTGGGCTACTTCCACGTACATAGGCTTGGCCACTCTGGCCAACCTTTGGCGGCCGCTTCTCCAAAGTGCACTGGAGGTTACTAATGCATACCGGGCTAGCCATCTCACGAGGTCGGCCCACAATGGATTTAAGTCCTGAGCCAAACCGAGCTTAGCTTTTGCTGTGTGGTTAATCAACTTAATATGAAAATGAAATTCAAATATTATTTGGCCAAGAAAGTTAAAACTGTACAACCAGATAAAAAACAAGAACAGAAATCCAAACTTGAAATTCAAGGACAGGGCATGATTCAATCAATAGAGGTAAAAAAACGACAGCCTATTAGATATGTTAACGTTCTATTTTGAATTTTTCACAAACCAACGAAACACGACACCTTTGTTCGGTCAACCATATCCCACGCATGTGCGTAGACAGATTGTCAAATCCATTCAAACCATAAGCCCTGCCCCATCAGGAACCACGACACTACTAGAATTTGAACCCCTCAACATGCCACCGCCGAAGCCACGGCCCTTAATCCTCCTTAGCTCTGCCGCCACCTCTCTGGCATCCGGCCGATCGTCTTTATCGGCCGCAACGCACCGAAATGCCAATTCTGCCATGGCGCCAACTCCCTCCATCGCCTCCCCGTCTACGACTAGTACAGGATCCACAACTTGGTTCAACAATCCCATTTGTATCCTTGGCACCACCATGTCCGCCAATGCCATTTCCGTCTTATCCCGATTCTGATCCACTGCTCTCATGCCCGTTATCAACTCCAATAACACCACCCCAAAACTGTAAATATCACTCTTTTCATTCAACCTGAATGATCTGTAATAATCGGGATCTAAATAGCCCGGAGTACCTTGAGGACCTGTCCAAACTCCTTCAGAAGAATTGTTCGACGCCATTGACGTTTCTGAGCATACTAAAAGCCTCGAAAGCCCGAAATCCCCAACTTTCACTCTCATATCCTTCTCTACAAAAATGTTTGACGAAGTAATATCTCTATGAACTACCGGTGGAACTACTGAAAAGTGCAAGTATTCAATAGCCATGGCAGTTTGCATCGCGATGTCAACTCTTGTATTCCATGTTAACTTTAACGCCCCTTTTTGGTACAAACTCTTCTTACCATGGAGATGATCAGATAAAGTGCCATTGGGCACATAATCATACACCAAGAGAAGGCCTCTTGGATCACTGCAATAGCCATGAAGCTTGACTAAATTGGGGTGGTTAATCGAGGACAAAATCAATATTTCATTGCAAAATGACTTTGTTGAGAATCCTTTAGCTCCAGCAGCTGTTGCGGGATTGTGCTTGTGGAGATGCTTTACTGCAACTATACGACCATCATAAAGCTGACCTAAATACACTGAACCAAATCCTCCATCCCCAATTTTGCGCTTCGGGTCGAATCTATTGGTAGAGGACTCGAGCTCTTCATAGGTGAAAACTGGTGGGAGAAGACTAGCAGAACGGTGGCGCCGGAGGAAGATTATTGTAGGATCTTCCTCTGCAGCCATCAGTGCATTTCTTCTTGACCGGAAGAACACAGTTCCAATAGAAACGGCAATTAAGAAACACATAAACAAGAAAATTATAGATAATACAGCAATTCGATTTGGACTTTTCTGTTTGATTCTTGTTTGAGATGGGAAACATACGAACGGCTTCTTTGGGTCTGTTGAATTGAACCCACAAAAGCCATTGCTGGCCCTGCAGGATTTGCAGCTAGAAAAGTACACGTCTTGGTCTTCATCCCACTCAACCTCAAATCCTATTCTCAAAATGTTTTCAAGAACTCCAAGTACGTCGCTTTGGCATTCCGGTTGAAAGTCTTCTCGGTGGCGCGTGGAAGAGCCACAGTCATGGAGGAGGTGAAGAGGGTTCTTGATGAGATTACATTCCCAGGAGCAGCGGCTGCAGTTTGGGAGATTTGGAGGCGGGCAAGGTTTAAGGGCCGAAAGGCGGGAACAAGAAGAATCAGAGACTCTAAATGGGGAACCAGTGAGTGATATAGATCTGTTGAGAGTGGATATAGTGTGGGGAGAAGAACAGTTGTGGTGGCGGTACGGTGGCAGAGCTGACGACGTTGTAGGAGAGAGAGTGAGAGAGGTGGAGTTTGGTTCATACTGCAGTAGAGAGAATGAGATGTTATTGATGGAAATGGTGGTGTGAGAAGATGAACAGTGGAGTTGGAAAAATGGGTGGCCACAGCCAGATGAGAATGAGAAAGGAAAAGGGGGTATGGATTTGAAAGGTGGGCATGAAATTTTGGCGTCTTTAGACAGTGGAGGTGAGCAGCTATGAGCTAAGGTCATCAAGAATGAGAGAAGCACGGCAGCTGCAGCGGTGGAGATGGTGGTGGAAGGTGGTTGTGGCATTGTGGAGCCCAGAATGAGAAGTGAGAGTATAAAAAATCTGAATCTTGAACTAGTTTGTGTGGACTAACTAGGTTAGTGGGGTGGGGGTGATACAAGAATGGGCGGCGGAGACGGTGGAGGGAGGCAGTGGAAGTGGCATTATAGAGCCCAAAACAAGAAGTGAAAGTATACAAAGATTGAATCTTGAACTACTTTAGGCGGATTGGTCACGAATGGCCGGCGGGAACAGTGGCCGGAGGTGGTTTAAGCGGTGGTGGCATTGTGGAGCCCAAACTGGGAAGTAAAAGTATAATCAAATCAGAAGGAAGCCGAAGATCTGAATCTTGGCCCTAGTTTAGGTGGACAGGCAACCTACGTAGATGGGTGAGTTGGGGGGTGGGCTCACGTGAAGATAATTGGGTGAAGACAAAAAATCAAGAAAAGATGAGGAGACCAAATTTCTTTCTATTCTTTCGAAAAGAATAGAGTTTGATTTAATTGATATGTATCTCATTTTAATGCTAAAAGGGTTTAATTTTTTTTATTGGTTTTCAATAGTTTACATGATTTTGGTAGTCTAAAATTGACCCCAAATTTCAAAAAAGTCATCGTGCTAGTGCTTGTGAAACTTTCGCACGCTAATCAACTCTTCCACTCTTTGTGGTAAAGTTGTCCGAAAGAATGAATCTGATTCACACGATAAAAAGGATACAAGAAATAATAATTATCACAAAACGTTTCCATTTTCAATATTTTTGTGTAAAATTTTCAAATCTTTTATTTTTTGACAATTTTACCCTCACTTTCACATTTCATTACAAAAAAGGTCCTTCCATTCACCCACTATCAAATGCTCTGCTAACTCAATAAAGACTAATTAGTACAATACATTTCCACTTTTCAATATTTTTGTGCAAAATGTATCTATCTTTTTTTGGTAATTTCACCTTCACTTTCACCATTCTTTGTGGAAAATGTGTTTCTATCCAACTACTATCAAATACTCCGTTAACTCAACAAAAAAAATGCAATTTTTTTCTTTTCAAAAATCAAGGATAATATAATCTTGTCCAAATTTTCCACTGCCTTCTTCCCACTTCAAAGTTATCTGTTATAATATGAAAATAATTCATGCAGTTATTCCATTAAATAAATAAGAAATGATGTAAAGAACATATATATATATATATATATATATGTACTTTTTTTTTTTTTCTTGAAAAGAACAGTGACTACTATAATACTGGATTACTCATAAAATTTGGAACGGTAGACGAAATGATTGAATATGTGGTCAACAAATTAAAGATGTTCATCCCCATTTGTGTTTGGTAAAGGTGTAAAAAAGGGTAAAATAAGAAGAACAATGACAAATGTGATGATGCAAATAACACATCAAATGTCAATGGTGAATGACCCATCACATATGAATGGAGAAGATGAACTAGATCCGTTCTTTTCTTTTTAACATGAAATTGAACTTGTAATAATCATCCCTACCTATTAATACGTTTTATAAGTAACAACCCCATCTTTTTAATATACTTCGTGAAAAATATACTTATATTTAAATTTAAGTTGTGGTGGGTGGATGAAAGGACATTTCACATTGAAAGGTGAAAGTGAAATTGTCAAAAAATAAAAGGTAAAAATGTTTTCTACAAAAAATATTGAAAGATAAGAACGTTTTATACTAATTAGCCTATATGTCATAAACTTCAAATTACGTACCTTTTGACAAACTTACATTTGAAAGCAAATTTGTACTCGGTAATTGATAAAAGCTCTTGATCATGGATACTGATTTCAATTGAATATTATTTCTAAATTAATCTGTATGCTTAATTTCGAAAAATACATTGGCTTCTAGAAGATGAATTTGTTGACTTCTCTATTCAACTTTTTATAGGGTCTGTTTGATGTAAGTTTTTAGAATAGAATTTGTGAGAAGTGATATTTTTGGAGAATATGTGGTTAAAAAGTAAGAGAAAAAAAAGGATAAATGTGCAAAATTATTTTAATGTAATAATAAGCAACTAAAAATGATTCTTAAAAAAAAAAGAATTTTAAAGAATATGTACCGAGGAGATTGATTTTGATTGAATAGTATTTCTAGATTAGCATGCGTGCTTAACTTCGAAATCTACCATGAGGCTTATATTGAAGTTAAACTTTAATTTCAACTCTACTTTCATAAAATTAACTACGAAGGTTAAAGCGTGCAATTTTTTTCAATTTGTTATGAATCTTGAAAAGTATCTAAAATACAATTGACGTTCGAGTATTAATGTAGATGATTTATGATTTTGAGTTACATGTCTTAAGGTACTATATACTAAGTGATGAAACAAGAGCAAATGAAGTGCGACAATATTTGAAGATATATCAAACGCTTATATTACTTAAAAATTTTTGTTAATTATATCTTATCCTATCTCCGATCAACTATATAACACGAAAGATTGAATTGATTGACTATATTATTAATTGAAAATGAAATAATTGAACAGGTAGATTATTCAAATTTTAATAATATTTTTGTCTCTAAAATCGCAAGACGAACAGTATTTGATTGATCGTTTGAAACATTGTTAGCTTTGTTATTTGATTATAATATAATTTTTTTTTTGTATGATACATTTTATTTGATGTTTTATTGTAAAGTGTTAGATTAACAAGTTAACTATTGATTTCATAATACGATTTTGCATACATATTAAAATTTTGGGGCCCAATTTATGATGTTCGCTTCAGGGCTCGAAAATCACAGAACCGACACTGTTACTACTCATTCAACTATTACTTATTTCTATCACATTATAATTTTAGGTCCCGTTTGATTTTCATTCTTTAGCCACAAAAATGAAAAATATGATCGTTATCCATCACGTCAAGCCATCATATTTGACTTTCTATATCTTATGTGGATCTCTAAATGATTATAGTTTTCATTTTCATTTTTACAAAAATTGGCATCAAACGGGGTCTAACTTGTAATGAAACTCAAAGACGAACATAATTCATTTTGACATTTTGTAGGGAGTTAATAATTGTTTATTTTGTGCATAGAAGACATGTCTCAAAATTCGATTTTCAAAAGCTGCAGACTTTTTGATACTTTAGAATAATTGGAAGCGTGATATGTCGACAGATTAGGCATATTAGCATTCCCACTTAAAACTATTGAAAATCTAGTTAAATAGCACTAAATGAGAGACTTTAACACTTTTCATGTTCCTTTTTGGTACTCCTTTAGCATATCTCACCTGTAAAAAATCCTATAATTGGAAATTGAACTATTATGACTTCCTCGTGGCTTGGCCAATGACGAAACGGATCTATCAGCAATTGCTAGTCACAAGGGCCACTTAGAGTTCAAAGGTCGAGTCGTCTTATTTCGACACAGGTTTGATACAACTTGTATTCTAGTAGTGAGATATATGTGCACTACACCTGATTTTGCAATAAAGTTGTCATTTTTTAATAATTCTTGCATTTTTTTAATTTTTAGGTAGACTATAACTAGATATTACGCATGACCAAGAAAATTCTAAGATCCTTGATAGAGAGTCTACAATTCAATTCAACGTTTTATTTGTTCGGGTTCGATTGTGTTGTAGATTTATAATTCAAATTTGAAATGCTTTGACACTATTGAGCCCGTAAAAGGCTAGGATAGGAAACAAACCATCACAATATAAAAATGGGATATTTTTAAATCTAAGCTTACATACGCCTAGAATGTTTAACTAAGCTTATAAAAACATTTTCATATTAGTGAATAAAAAAGTTTTAAAATAAACAGGTTTTTTCATTGAAGAATTTAAAAAAGTTTTAAGCTATATATTTTGAACATGAGGTAAGAGCAGGAGCAAAACCAGAATTTCGACTCAGTTAAGGTAGCCGTTGACCGTATAGCACTAACGGTCAACGGCCATATAGCACCAATATCACACAATCTTAGAGATAGATAGAGAGGTGTGCGTATATAAGCGGTACCGATTTAGTTGGGATGTCTATGTGTATCTAACGTTACCTCTTACAAAATAACATATATATTGAGAGAGAGAGAATATAGGGTGCTGCTACTGGGGAGCTTTGGCTTTTGTGGTAGGATTTTTGCTTTGTTTAGAAGTCTTTCAAACTTTGAAGCTTGATTTTCATACGTGTGAAAGAGAAAGATCTGACAGTTGCTTCAAGTTTTAAACTTGATTTTTGTTGAATTTTAATTGGCAAACATTTTGGAATGGTATCGCTTACTTATAATTTTTTACATTTTTAGTCCCTTAAAAAAGTTTGGTCATCTATCAAACTCTAAATACTCCTATTAAAAAGAAATTGCAATACCAGTAGCAGGGGATTTCCTTGCAAAAAATAGGTTGTTCGCCAACTAATCAAAATAGATTTTCACATTATTCTTAACTAACACGATTCTGATGTACTCCGATGATCGCAGAAACTTATATGATTCTATGATAATCAAACACATTTTTTCTGTCTTCTTTTTAATTGATTATCAATTGAAGATGACTGGCTCTGCAGCCAAAATTAATATATTCAGCTCTGTTCTGTTGCTTTAAATTCACTTCCATCCCTCAGATTTCAGCAAACAAAACAAATGACTTTTTAAACCCTTTATAATCAACATCACGGACAATGAGATTATATTAATCAATAAAGTAAGCCGTTTTTTCTTGACGGAGGCCAACCACTTCCACAATATTAAACACCAAAAGGCAAAAACTGCCAAATTTTTTCATATTATTATTAGATAAT